GGTCCCTACTCCTCTTAGTGGCAGGCAGCTATGGATGCAGAGATGGCTTCCTGGAAGTCCACAGGCACCTACGTTGACGCGGTTCCCCCTCCTGGGGCCAACATCATCAGTGGCATGTGGATCTTCAGGGTGAAGCGGCCGCCAGGCTCTCCACCTGTCTTCAAGGCGCGGTACGTGGCTCGTGGCTTCAGTCAGCGGCAGGGAGTTGACTACTTTCAGACCTTCTCTCCCACCCCGAAGATGACCACTCTTCGGGTACTGCTGCACATAGCCGCTCAGCGCGACTACGAGCTCCACTCTCTTGACTTCAGCACTGCTTTCTTGCAGGGTAGCCTGCACGAGGAGATCTGGCTGCGCCGTCCACATGGCTTCACTGGGAATTTCCCTCCTGGCACCTAGTGGAGCCTCCGGCGGCCAGTCTACGGTCTCCGCCAGACACCGCGTGAGTGGCACGACACACTGAGGACTACGCTTGCGGCTCTTGGGTTTGCTCCCTCTACTGCTGACCCGTCGTTGTTTCTGCGCACCAACACCTCTCTGCCGCCGTTCTACATCCTAGTGTACGTCGACGACTTGGTCTTTGCCACAGCTGACACTGCTGGACTCGCCTACGTGAAGTCCGAGCTGCAGAAGAGACACACGTGCACAGACCTGGGTGAACTGCGCAGCTACCCTGGCTTGCAGATCACCCGGGACAGAGCACGCCGCACCATTACCCTGACTCAGTCAGACATGGTGCAGCAGGTCCTTCAGCGCTTCGGCTTCACGTACTCCTCGCCTCAGGCCACTCCTCTGCCTACTCGCCACTCGCTCTCAGCTCTGCCTTCGGATGAGTCCCTAGAGTGGAGTGGCCCGTATCCAGAGCTTGTTGGCTGCCTCATGTACCTGATGACCTGCACACGACCTGACCTTGCATACCCTCTTAGCATTCTCGCACGCTATGTTGCTCTCGGGAGACACCGACCAGAGCACATGGCTGCAGCGAAGAGGGTGTTGCGCTACTTGTGCAGTACGTCGGGCATGGGGCTAGTGCTTGGAGGGCGGAGTCCAGTGGTCCTTACTGGGCACGCGGACGCTTCTTGGGCTGACGACCAGACTACTCAGCGGTCGTCACAGGGTTACACCTTCAGTCTTGGTTCCGGCTCTGTTTCGTGGCGGGCTACTCGCTCGTCTTCTGTTCTCGGCTCCAGTTGTGAGGCTGAAATTCACGCCGGGGCCATGGCTGCTCAGGAGCTTCGCTGGCTCACCTACCTGCTGACTGACCTTGGAGAGCCGCCTCGTTCTCCTCGAGCGCTGTACGTAGACAACAAGGCCATGCTGGCCTTGTGTCGAGAGCATCGCCTGGAGCAGAGAACGAAGCACATTGCTCTCCGCTACTTTCTTGCTCGTGAGCTGCAGCAGCGTGGTCAGTTGCGACTTGCGTACGTGGCCTCTGAGGCCAACACCGCTGATGTTTTCACCGCTGATGTATATGTATACATACATGCTCTTGCTTGTTTAGTGTTTTATATATATGTGCACCCCTGCATGTGAACTGGCCTTGTGGCCTTGACCTTGTGCTCGGACTGTGTGGTAACTTTGTGATCCACCCTGAGCTTTCTTTGCTTTGTTTTGCTTGACTGGTCTTGTGACCGCTTGTTTTCCCTCACTTTGCCTATGGAGGTGTGTCACATATATATGACATAGATATTGTAGGCTATAGTGGGGTAGCACATATGGGGTACAGCTTTCTAGGGTTTGTATTTGTACCCAACTTTCACTTTGTGATTCCCATTCTCGTTCAACTCTTCTCAAATATATTGCACTCTGCTCACCCACCAATGAAGGACTCTATCTTCGCGAGCTACTCGAAGAAGCGAAGTTAGCCGAGTTACACAACTTTACCCTGTTCTGCGACAACCAGTCGGCAATTCGCATCGCCAACAAGAACGGCTTCGCGAACAGGACGAAACACATCGCCCTACGATATTTCTTCGTGAAGGACGAGATCGAGAAAGGAAGGCTTGAGCTGACGTACTGCCCCACTTCCGAGATGGCCGCTGATTACCTGACCAAGAAGCTCGGAAAACATAAGTTCCAATATTGCATGCTGCTGACTGGACAGAGCCACGTCAGCGACACTCAAGAAGCGAAGGGGTCTGTTGGAAACAATAGTTCCTAAGCGCCTCTATCGTGTCGAAACACTAAGGCACAAGCGAGGCAAAGCATATCGAGGCACAAGCGAGTCAACCCTCGGAGGTTGAAGTAACCGCTGGAGGTTACGCGAAAGTCAAAGGTCAGCGACCTTTGACCTGACAAATGCAGCGCGACAGCAAGGACACACAACTGACTCGTTACAGAGCAGTTGCCCGAGTCGTCACTGTATCGAACCGCAACAGCAACAGTAAAGTAGTTATAATTGTGTCTCTTCATATTCTCTGTATTCATATATAATCTTGTATCTCTTTGCTTTAATCAATTCACTTCGCCCTCATATACTAGCGCAAGGTGGTTCACAAACTCTTTATTAAGACGCTTCCGCTACTCATCAACTCTACCCAGAATTCACCTCTGCCAAGATCCTAAGGGCTTTTTCAGCCCAACATTCGTGTGGTAAGAATCTTGCAATCTCGTGTGTTCCTCTTTTCTTTGTGTTGTGTGTTGCAGGAGCAAACCATCGTCTACATTGGGTATTGAGGTTGTGCTGGAGCTCTCCTGAGTAACATAGCTTTTATAACGTGCTGTATCTGCAGAGTAGTGCACGTTGTCTGCATGTCCAAGTGTTCTGTAATGCTTTATTTAAAATGTGCAGATTGATTAATGGAATCGACTTGCTTCTGCATACAAATTATACTGGCAATAAGCAGCTCGTGACAAAATTAACAGTAATTGATTGATATCAATACTAATTGTGGGAATAGCGGAATGAGATTTATAATAGTTTTTTTAATGACAATAGAAAATACTGTCTTGTAGCTATGATAGTGTTGAAATCGAGAAAGTTAACATGGCAGAAGCGGCTCGCGTTAAGCGGGAAGCGGGAACGCACGTGATCGGGCCCAAACTTCGCGGGAGGGTCACATCTCGGGGTTCCCCAGTGTGACAACGAACTGAATCCTCGACCAGGGTGACATTGGGGTATCACTGCTGGCGACAATGGGGTATCACCAATCGGAGTACCCTGATGTGACCTTGGGGTAGAAAATTGCGGGGAACTTTTTTGGGATGTAGTGGAACCATTCATCAATACACCCAATGTTTTCGTTTATCTCACCAAGCGCGTTTCGGTCGGAGATGCTTGTCATTTTTGCCCTGTGCTTTTAACGTCTGCGAGTCACATTTCCGTGCATATTGCCGTCCCTTGCTCCCAAAATGTGGCTATAAATACGGTTTTGCAACTGTAGGCCGGCCTGACCGAATCATAACTAGTAAATTTGGCCTCGTGTTTAGCGCGAATGCGTGTAACTGTAGTGCTCTGCCACCGATTATCTTCAAAGTTTAGCAATTCAGTGTTGAATTTATCACGCGTGTGAATCGATTCTATGTGACATAAACGCATCGCTCCCAACCCTCTATGTTAATGTACCGAGCCTGTAACACAATCACAGGTACATCAAACGAACAAGTGGGTGTACACTCTCTGTGATGCACTGCATCCGGATAGGCGTGGTCGCATGTAGGTACACTCTTGTTAGAGAGACGCAATGAACAAGGTCCAGCATCGGGTAGCATCTACTTCTGCGGAAAACATGCCATATCCGAGGCTGTTTTCCGCCCTTTAATTTGCTCGGAATGCTAACTGGTACCTCTACAACTGGGTTGGACCTTTGCCTACACGGACATGCTTGACGAGGGAAGGTATACTTGCGAAAAAAATTATTTCAAGGCAGTTTGCAGATTCCCCTCCTTGTTTAAAGCTGAAGCAATCACTGTTGCCATTGTGTTTCAGGGTAGTAGAGGAGACGCACACCCGCACATTTTCTGCCTCACAGGAATTGAGGAGGAACTAAATAACTCGATTCACACTACCCTTCGAGTACCTTCAGGTTAACCCCCAACCGTTCCAATTGAGTGAGTTGCCCCGAATTAACGAGGGTTTCCAGGCTGGCCTCTCTGGGATGACAACGAAGCATGCGGATGTCTACAGAAAGAAGCACGTTGAAATACTTGCAGCGAAAACAGTTCACGAGATTGATGCAGAAGGTTTCATTCACATATAGAAACGCAGGAGATCAACGGGGGGTGTAGTCCATTCCATTATACAACAGTCAGGTACTCTAGAGAAGGTAAGGTGAGGGAGCTAGGGTTTCCTCAATGGCTCCACAGAATCGAAAATTGTGAGACTGCCCGGATAACTTCCAGATTGCGCTAGTCCCCTCCACCAATGGTCGGCGTAGTGGTTTGAATGCCACGCTGGACCATGAGCGGCCAACCAGCCTGCTGTGCAGCGCTGCCCGCAAGACCTTCCACGTCAATATCCAATCGGGCAGGCCATATAATTTGGAGAAGCAAATTATATCCTGTCTGAAGCGCTGGTATGGCCGAGCAGAGCACTAGTGTTCTGGTTCATTCAGTGCTTCAGACCTGTATCCGTGGCTTTAGACGAAACCCTAGTTTCTTTCCAGTACTGGTAGGCTAGAGCCCGACAGCCCCGTCATTTGCAATTTGAAGTTTCAAGTTTTTGAGTTTCGAGTTTGGTGTTTTCGAGAGGCACTTCCTCGCGGCAACATCCATGGCTGTTGGTCGCTGACCACTTTTCCTCCCCCAACGTTTCCTAGTGTTCCTTTCTTTGCCCTCACCTTGCTTGGCCGCTAGTGTTCAACAGAACTGAAACCAGCACCACTGTCACCTGTGTTTCTGACCTGATACACGCAGTCTGACTATATTTACCTTGGCAACAGGACGATTGACTAGCTTTCGGTCAGCCGACGCAAAGCTTTATTTCTTGTCCTTCTGCACTGCTATTTTTTTTTCGAAACCGTTTTATTTTCTGCTCTTCCCTTAGCGCAAAGCGTGGCATAATGACATCTGTATCTCTTCAGACGCTACTACAGCTGCAGACAGCACCTACAAATCAACAAACAACCACCTCCTCTGAACCGCCTCCCACAGCCAACGACGGTGACCCTTTCGCTCCTCTAGAGAATGCCGATGCTCTAGAACCCGTTACTAGCCACGACGTGAAGAATGGTGTTTCTGTAAACGATCCTACTCCTGCGAACGAGCCTATTCCCGGTTCGGACTCCGCTAATGTTGCAAAGCAGTCAGTTGACGGCAACGACGCGACCGAGCGTAATGATAGCGAGAAGAAGACTAAGCGTAATGGATTGGAAGCTGGAGCCTCTGAGGTGGACGGTGGCCAGACGGGTTTGGAGCCACAGCTCGCGCCGACGCTTGCGCCAGGCGGAGGCGGAGCGGAAGGCGGAGGTAACGCGGAAGGCGGAGGTAACGCGGAAGGCGGAAGCGGGAGGGGAGGTGGAGCGGAAGGCGGAACGGAAGGCGGAGGTGCAAATGTTGCGGAAGCGCCGGTTGATGTCGGAGGAAAGCTACCCGCGGAGCTTCCGCAGTCGGCGCAGTTTCCGGCGGATCCTCCGCGGAAGGACATGATGCAAATGTTTCAGGAGCAGACGGCATCCGTCCTGCTGGATCCTATCGAAGCTGCTTTTGACGAGGATGGCCTTGGCGAGGATGACGCGGACCTTGACGGAGACATGGACGGTGGCGATGAGGATGATGGTGAAGGCAACGGTGACGGCGACGGCAATGGCGACGGCGAAGGCGACGGCGACGAGGAAGGTGACGGCGACGGCGACGGTGATGGTGACGGTGACGGCGGCGACGGAGAAGGAGACGGAGAAGGAGAGGGAGACGTGGACAAAGACGATGGCGGCGGCGGTGGCGGTGGTGGTGGTGGTGGTGACGGTGACGGTGACGACGGTGACGGCAAGGAGCTGCCGGCAACGTTAGATCCGGCAGACGCGGACCTCCCCTTCAAGCGGAAACGCGGACGGCCGAAGAAGATCCGCAGAGCGGAGGCGCCAGACGCAGACGCTTTTTCCCCGCTCATTGGGGACACGCTGGGCGGGCGGCCGTTCAAACGGCGCGCTTTCGCGGAGGCGGACGCCGTGCGCGTGGGGATGGCGTTCCTGGAGCGCGGGGAGAAGAAACCGCGCGTGGAACGAGACGCGGCGCTACCGCGCGGACCGGCGCAGGGGCTGGAACGGCCACATCCGCACAAAATCCACTCGCGGCTCGGGCACCAGCCGCATCTGCATCCTCCGCCACCGCCGCAGCAGCAGGTGCCCCTGCCTTTGGATCCCCTCTTTGGCCGCTTCGGGCGGCGACCCCAAGGGGATAGCAAGTTCGTTCCGGATTGGGCGGCGAACTTCGCGGCGGAGATGGGCATAAGCGCGCGGCCGAAGGCCCCGCGTTATGAGGACGCGCATTACGATAAGATGGGGGAGGAGGAAGAGGAGGAGGACGAGGATGAGGCGGGGTTTGCGGGCGGAATGCGGGGAGAGGGCTTGCGGAACTTGCGTGGAAGGCGGGGATCGGGGGCGGGCTTTCGTGGCATTGCAGGATTGGATGGTTTTGGCGGTGCTGACGTGGACGGGAGGCGGAAACGGAAAGGACGGAAGCGGTTCCAGCATTTGCCGGACGAGGATGATGACGTGGTGGAGGTCAAGGATGACGTGTTGTTCTTCCCGGCCAACCGCGGGGGAGTGCACATGGACCGTAGGCGACGCCGTGAGATGCGGCGTGGGTTGCACCGTGGGTTGCAACGTGGAATGCGTGGACATAAGGAGAGCCTTCGAGGTTCGCTAAAGAAGGTCAGGCGTAAGGGACTTGAGAAAGAGAGGACCAAAATTGGGACGGAAGGGGAAGGAGAAGGGGAAGGGGAAGAATCAGGAGGTGAAGCAGTGGGTTTGGACGGGAATAAGATTCGTTTGACGGATAGCATGTCTGTGCCTTTGTTTCCGGGCAGCTTGGGCAGCAGCGGGATAAAAGGGCAGCCACAAATGAGCGTTCTTGGGGATGACTTGTGGGCGGAAGAAGAGGAGGCCGAGGAGGGAGGGGAAGGGGAGGGGGAGGATGCGGTCGGGGACTGGGCGCACCAGTTGCGCCTGGAGCAGGAGTTTTTGCGCGGGAAGGCGCAGGACAGGGAGCGCGAGCGGGAGAGGCGGCGGGGGGCGCAGAGGGACAAGGCGGGGGAAAAAGCGCTGCCGGGGCAACAGCAGGGAGAGGGGGAGGGGAAGGATAACCAGGAGGGAGTTGCGCCCGGCGCGGTTGGTCTCGGGGCGGAGGGGGAGGGGAAGGCGGAGGGGGAAGGGGAGGCGGAAGCCGGCGCTGCTACTGGCGGAGTTCCCGAAGGCGCTGATGATCAGGAACGGGCGGAAAAGGAGAAGGAGCAGGCGGGGAGGGAGCGTTTGGAGAGGGAGAGAAGGGAACGCGAAAGGATGGAAAGAGAGAGGGCGGAGAGGGAGCGGGTGGACAGGGAACGTCTGAGGAGCCAACAGAAGCTTCTAGAAGAGGCTATAGTGGAGATGAAGCGCATGAGGGGAGAGCAGATCGCGATGGGGCGGGAGCTGAGGCGCGCGCGGAACACCAAGGAGGCGGCCAAGCAGGCGTTCGGAGAGCTGAAGAAGCAGGTATGGTGGTGGCGCAGGAACACATGCTTGCGCAGGCGCGCGTGCAGCTCTCCTTGCTGGAGGGGGTCAACAAGGCGCAGACGGAGGAGATCTCGCGCCTCTGGATGCCCGCCACTCAGAACCAACCCAGTCTCCCCACCCCTTCCCCATCCCTTCCCACCCCTCTCCACCTCTGTCCACCGCTTTCAACCAATTTCCAACCCTTCCCACCCCTTCCCACCGCTCTCTCCTCCCCTATGTCAGGTTGTGGTGCAGGAGCACATGCTGGCGCAGGCGCGCGTGCAGCTCTCCTTGCTGGAGGGGGTCAACAAGGCGCCGACGAAGGAGATCTCGCCACACCTTCCCCACCGCTTCCCACCGCGTCTCACCCGTTCCCCACCACCTCCCACCGCTTCCCACCGCTCTCCCCTCCCCCCTGTTAAGTGGTGGCGCAGGAACACATGCTGGCGCAGGCGCGCGTGCAGCTGTCGCTTCTGGAGGGAGTCAACAAGGCGCAGACGGAGGAGATCTCGCCACACCTTCCCCACCGCTTCCCACCGCCTCCCACCGATCCCAACCCTTCCCACCGCTTCCCACCACTCTCTCCTCCCCTCCGTCAGGTGGTGGCGCAGGAGCACATGCTGGCGCAGGCGCGCGTGCAGCTGTCCCTGCTGGAGGGGGTCAACAAGGCGCAGACGGAGGAGATCTCGCGCCTCTGGATGGCCGCCACTCAGAACCAACCCGGGCTCGCCCCTGTCACGGGCCTTGCTGCTCCCCCTGGTACCGTCATGGGGTCTGATACGCGGTTCTTTGCCACTTCTGCCGGTGGTTTTGGCGGTGCTGGTGGTGCTGGTCGTGACGGTGTGCGTGGGGCAAGAGGAGAGAGTAGTGCTGCTGGCGGCACTGCTGCTGGTGGGGCTGATGGTGGGTCCAGTGAGGAACAACAGCAGCAGCTGCAGCAGCAGAAGCAGGACCTTCAGAAGCAGCAGCAGCAGCTGCAGCAACAGCGCGAAGCCGTAACCGCCCATGCACTCGCAGCGGATCTCGAGTTAAGTGCCACGAAGCTACAGATAGCCATGAAGGAGCGGCCAGTGCGCACCCTCCTGCAAATCGCCTGGAGCCCTGCAAACAACATTGGCGCGCTCGCCAAGGCGAAGTTTAAGGAAGCAAACGGAGGAATGGCTGTGGGGCATCCAGGGGACATGCAGTGGGACGACGTTCTCAAAGCCCTGGAGGAGTATATTCGGCTGGGGTCACTGGAATTCGCTAAGTACCAGCTCATGTTTGGTTTTAAGGAAAAGGCAGTGTATCGTGCCCGAAGCAGATTGCAGGACGGGCGGACCCAAGCCAGGCTGCTATCCGCGGCGCATGATGAGGCTCGGCAGCAGCTGATGGAGGGGACGTTGGAGTTTGAGGCGCATGCTTTGGCGTCTTCTGTGGCGGCCAGCGTGCGGCAGCTTCTGGGAACCGTGGAAGACGAGAAGCACGAGGATGAGGACGAGGAAGCGGCAGTTCAGTCGTTGATCGCGTCAGCCGCGGCTAACGCGGAGAATGCAGCGAGGGAAGCGGAGAGGGAGGTGATTCAAGCCCAGACGAAAGCGGCTGAAGGTCTCCCCCCTGTCGCTGACCCTGCTGCCGGCGCTGCTGCTGCTGCTGCGGGTGTTCCTGGAGGTGCGGGTATAGAGGGTGGGGTTGGGATGGATGGGGTATACGCTGCAGGGGAGATGGGCGCAGGAGGGGAGGGCGATGGGGTGATTCGGCGGAAGCCTGGGCGGCCGCGGGGAGGGGGGGCTGCGCTGGCGATAGGAAACGGGGATCTCCCCGCGCTCTCCCGTGTGCGCATCCCCAAGATGCCCACCCTCCCCGCGTCCGCGCAGCAGGCGAATGGGGAGGGGAAGAAGAAGAAGAGGAAGAACCGGGGGAGGGGGAGGGGGGCTGCGGAAGGGGGCGGGGGGGAAGGGGCGGATGAGATGGGGAACGCGGGGGAGCTTGGTGGGGGGGGTGAGGGGGCGGGGGGAGGGGAGGGGATGGCGGGCGCGGAGGTTGATCCAGCAGCGGCGGCAGCAGCAGCTGCTGCCGCAGTGGCGGCAGGACTGGAGGGGCAGATAGACGTTGAGGCGGTGGCAGCAGCACTGGCGCAGGCGACAGGGGGTGGGGGCAACCGGGGCGTGGGGCAGCAGGCAGGAGGTGGCGGGAGGATCGGGCTGGAAAGGCTGCGGCTGCAGGAGCAGCAGCAGCAGCAACAACAACAGCAGCAGCAGCAGCAGCAGCAGCAGCAGCAAGAAGGGGAGCAGCAGCAGCTGGGACTGCAGGGGCAGGGGCAGGCGCAGCAGCAGGGGCTGGGGCAGGGGCAGCAGGGATTGGGGGAGCTTGAGCAAATGGCAGCGTCCTGGGCGGCAATAGTTCAGCAGTCGGGAGCAACGGACTCGTCTTCTCTAGTTGAGCTGAGAAACTCGTACATTCAGCAGCAGCAGCAGCTGCAGCAGCAGCGGCAGCAGAGCCAGCCGCAAGCACTGGCCCAGCAGCAACAGCAGCAGCAGCAGCAGCAGCTAGTTCAGGAGCGAGTGGAGCAAGCAGACTGGCAGCAGAATCAGACCCACAGCAACCAGCAGCAGCAGCAACAACCAGTGCGGCACTCGCGGGCTCAGCAGGTGCCCTATCAGCAGCAGCCTCAGCAGCAGCAACAGCAGCAACCGATCCAGCAGCAGCAGCCACTGCAACAGCCGTACCGGCAGCAGCAGGTGCAGCAGTTTCAGCAGCAGCAGCAGCAGGCGCCGCAGCAACAAGAAGTAACAGTACCCGAGCCAGAAACAGGACTCATGGGCATGGCAGGGGCGGATGACGCGACTCTAGCCAGCCTCAGGCAGGCTGTAGGGGACGCCTGGCAGGGTTCTGGGTTTGGGAGTTTAGAGGCGCTATGGCAACAGGCAGGGCGGAATGCAGTGCTGGGGCAAGGAGGGGCGGGCGGAGGGAGGGGCAGCGCTGGTGGTGGGGCCGAGGCCGGGGCGGTAGGGGGAGCAGGCGGGGATGCCGCTGGTGCTTTTGCGGCTCAAACTGTTCAGCAGCAGCAGCAGCATGGTAATGCACATGCTGCGGCGGCGGCAGCTGCTGCAGCGGTGATTGCAGCGGCAGCAGCCGGCAGTGCAGGATTTGCAGGTGTTGCGGGTGGGGGAGTGGCTCAGCAGGACCTTCAGGGCGCAACCCCGGTGATGAATCTCAACTTCCCTGTGGCTGAGGATGCAGCAGGAGGTGCTGCTGGTAGTGGTAGTAGGCGGGAATCTCGTCGGCAGCAGCAGCTGCAGCAGCAGCAGCAGCAGCAGCAGCAGCAAGGGCAGTATCTGGGTTCCCAGAGGCAGGGGTCTCAACAGCCCCAGCAGCATCAGCAGCAGCAGTATTTGCGTCAGCAGCAGCAGCAGCAGCAGGCGCAGGTGCAGCCGCAGGTGCAGACTCAGCAGCTTTACCAGCAGCTGCAGGAGCAGCAGCAGCAGCACACTCATCACCACCAGCATCAGCAGCAGCCGGCGCAGCAGCAGCACCATCAGCAGCAGCAGCTTTTTGGCTCTGCAGCAGCAGAAGCTGCTGCAGGGTACGGGAGTGTGCGACAGGAGGAGGTACAGCATCATCAGCTGTACCAGCAGCAGCAGCAGGCACAGCACCAGGTGCAGCAACAGCAGCTGCAGCAGCACCAGCAGCAGCAGCAGGAGGTGCATGAGCCAGAGCAGCAGGGCTCTCAGTGGCCCCAATCTCTCCCTTTTGCCAATCTAGGTGGCCTGGATAATGAAACTGAGCCTCTTCAGTTCACTACCCCTGCTGCTGCTGCTGCTGCCACTGCTGGGGGCCATGCTGGGGCAGCTCGGGTGTTGCAGCAGGGAGGCCTGCAGGCTTCAGCGTGGGGTGAAGTAGCTTCTGCATTAGGTTCGGTTTCAGGGGTTGGGGTGAATAACCCTGTGCATTTCAACCTCGGGCAGCAGCTGGCAGGGAATCGGGCAGGAGGCGAGGCGGAGTTCGATCGGGTGCGCCTGTGGGGGAATGAGTGGGATGGGGTGAACGCTGGGGCAAATGCTGCTGCGGCGGTGGCTGCAGCGGCAGCAGTAGCGGGGGGAGGGCAAGGGGAGGAGAGTGCTAGTGCTGGTCTGCAACAGCTGCACAATCTGGCTGCAGCTCAAAATCAGTTGCTTCAGTTCTCACGGGCTTTTGGGGCAAATGCCTTTGCTCGCCAGTAGTATTGGAACCGCCTTTTGTGTGTGACGTGACGTAGTGACTTTGGGTAGTCGTGACATTTGTGACACTAGGTTGACTGCCTGCTTGTTAGCTAGCAACTAATCTACCTTACTGTAGTAGCAACTAGTTGGTACTTTTTTTTTTAGCTGAGTATCTTAGTGTAGATGCGTTGTCTCGTTCTATTTCTCTCACATTTGCCCTGCTGGCTTACTGAAGCTCAAGGTCGTTCTGAGCTGGAAAGTGCAAGGCTCCTCTCCTCCGCATGTCCCACACGCGGCCTGGATCCCCAATTTGCTCCCACCTGGCCTGGAACCGACTCGCGTAGCCAATGATGTGAGCGGAAGGGCCCACATTACTGGTTACGCTGACGTCAGGTAAGGCCGAAGCCACAGCATCAGTCCGTCCGCGTGCCATCATCCAGCATTTGCCGTCAGCTCTGATCCAATCATAGCAGAAAGGCATCTTGCTCAGCGCGCAATTTTCAGCCACAAAAATGGGAGTCAGCAGCAGCCAGCACAACAAAGGCTCACCCGCCACGCTACTCCACCACACTACACCACACCACACCACACCACACAGATTGCCCCCAGGCCCCACCCGAGCCGACAACTTTGGTTGCCAATTTCCCACTGCAGCTCATATAACCCTGTCTCACCCGACTAAACCCATATATACGTAGCAGGAATGCGAGCCGCGATAAGCTCGAGGCATTTCCAGGCTACCACCACCTCACCAACCAGCCTCAAAGATGGATGATGTGTATGTGTGGATCATGGCGTCGGTTACCATTCTGTGAAGTCAGCTCCACTTGACTTGGTACAGTAGGGAGGGAACTGGTCGCACAGGAGTAATCAGACTCAGGAGTTACGAGATAGCGGCTAATCCGTTCTTTCAGTCTAGCTGTCTCTTATTCCAGCACTTACTGTGCGACTCGAATAGCAGCATCTCGAAACTTGGTTGTCAAGTACTAGCTGAAATCCTAGAAAAGCACAATCAGTCTTCTTTTCCTTCGCCTTTGATTGCGATGTTGTACATACACCTGGCATAGCGCCCTATCCTTTGGAAGTTTATGCGAAAATGGTGCAATACGGCCGATATCTGCTTTCTCACCGCGTACCAGGATGGGAACCGTGAGTTGCTGCTAACTCCTAGCTTTCAGATGGCATACCGAATTATGCTTAGCTCGTCGCCGTCCTTTTAATTAATATTTGTTTTGGTGCTACGTTTTGGCTATCCGAGCCATCATGACGCTCTGTCGTGAAGAATCGCTTTTTGCGTGTGTGACCATTTGTTTGCAACAGATATTACCTCAACTATAAGTCTCTGAAGAAGGAAATTCGTGCCTATGAAGCCGCCGTGGCGTCGGGGGTCACGGAGGAAGACGTTCAGCAGGACATGGCACGTCGATTTTCTGAACATCTCGACTCGCAGGTAGATTTCTGGTTTCTTTTTACTAATTTATTTTAGACTAAGTCCAGTTTCTTTACCCTTACGCTTGTACATCTGTTTGTTTCTTCGTTTAGTGTTATTCGAAGTTTCTAGGCCAAACTAAGCTGACATCAGCCTCCGTTTGAGCGGCGTGAGTCGTCTCGCGTAACAGATTAGGTAGTTTCCTTGACCGGGTTCCATCAGACGCCAATACAGCCTGAAGGCATTCAGGGTTTGCAAATGCCGAGTGCTAATTAGCTGCTCGGTTTCGTTGGTTTGAGCTCTCTCGAGACGACCATTGGTTATCCGTATGGTATTCGGGCTGTCTAATGCTACGTGGAATAACATATATTAGCTCAAATCCGAATTGTGCGCTGGCAGATGGAGAAGGTGGTGCTGTTCTTCTTGGAGCAGCAGGGCGTGTTGGCGGGAAAGCTCCAACGGCTACGAGAGCAGAGGGAAGGGTCGAACACGCGGGGAGACGAGTCCAGCCTAGCGATCGTGATGTCGTCCGATTTTAGCGACATGATGGAACAGTACAGGTAACTGTGCATTTTGTTTTGTTATTTCAATGTGCTGCAAGTTCGTCATGTCATCCGATTTTAGCGACATGTGGGTACAGGTAACTGTGCATGCTGTTCAATTATTTCAATTCGGAACAAAGTCATCTGAACAGGATATTGAACAGGTGCCTCAATAAATGTCTTATTGCGCCTCATAGAAACATGCACTTGCAGAACTATCTGTCTTCCCTATCGCCACCAACTACCAGGAGCAGCGCTCGTTATTCGCTTCTGCCTCTTTATCATCTCCTTTTCAGGGACGTGGGGCGGGAGCTGCTGCAGCTGCTGCATTTCGTGGAGTTGAACGTCACGGGGCTGTCTTCCTATCCTATCCCCGTCAGGGTTAAAAAAAACGACCGTTTTATTGAATTTTTACCACAAAAAACGGATTAAAACGGTTCCAGGAGGTGTTTCCTCTATAACTAACAAAACGGCCACTTAGTGGGACCAAATCGAACCCGAAATGCAGCAGCATGAAGGGGATGGACCCCTTCTTGCATGTATGCGCTTGTTGGCATGATTGAAAATGTTTTTGACCTTGTTTTTCTCTTTTTTTTTTTTTTCTTGGTGAACAGAGTTCTCTAACAAAAAAGCGGCCATTTTTTTTCTGAAAAATCACCGTAAAAAACGGACCGTATTTTACGAAAACCGTAATTTTGAACCTTCCCCGTTATAGTGCTGCCTCCCTTTCCTTCAGTAGCAGCTGTTATTATTTAATCCTGTTCTCGGTCAGCAGAGACGTCGGGAGGGAGCTGCTGCATTTCGTGGAGCTGAACGACACCAGGCTGCCATTTTATCCCCGTTATAGTGCTGCCTCCTGTTGCCTTACAAGCAGCTGTTTTCATGTCTTCTTTATTTTCTCTTTGCAGGGACGTGGGGCGGGAGCTGCTGCATCTACTGCAGTTTGTGGAGCTGAACGCCACGGGCCTGAGGAAGATCCTGAAGAAGTTTGACCGGCGTGTGGGCGTGAGGCTGGGACACATGTACATTGCTTCGCGCACGCTGCATCCCTACTCGCACCTGCAGCAGATCTTCAAACAAGTGGTGAGCGGTGGTGTGAATTGTGAGTTGTGATCCTGAAGAAGTTTGACCGGCGCATGGGCGTGAGGCTGGGACCCACGTAGTCGCGCACGCTGCAACCCTACTCGCACCTGCGACAGATATTCAAACAAGTGGTGAGTTGTGAGAGTTGATGTGTGATTTGTGTGTGAAATACGAGATGAGACGCTCTAAATTCTGCACCTCGTCTGGCTGCATGCCATGGTGGGGCACTGCACAGCACTGGGCGCCATCGTCCACAAATTGGACAAGCTGCACATGCCATGTGCTACCCAGGATTATTATTTTCTTACCCTCCCCTCCTCCCCCCCCCCTCCCCCCCCACACCCGCTTCTCATCAACGTCATCCCCAGGGTCTGGGCGCTATGGTGGGAACAATCATTCGCAATCTGGACGAGCTGCATGCGCATCTAAGCCTCTTGTGCATGCCTCATGCCCTACGTGCCTGTCTGTTCACCTTCTGTCCATCAGGGTCTGGGCGCCATGGTGGGAACAATCATCCGCAATCTGGACGAGTTGCACCGCAGGGAGCGGTGCTTCTCCTCGCCCTCCAATCTCCTCTCACCACGTGGTGCCGGCACGCCCAGACGCACGTCCTTCTCGCTCTTCAGGCAGGGGGACGAGTCCCCGGTGTACGTGGCTCAGGAGGAGCCCATCATTCAGGTGGGTGCTGCTGATGGTGCAACCGTTTACAGTGATGCGCACGTGGTGGCACGTGGTGGCACTCCCAGACGCCTGTTTGCACTCTTCAGGCAGGGGGACGAGTCCCCGGTGTACGTGGCTCAGGAGGAGGAGCCGATCATTCAGGTGGGTGCTTATGGTTTGACCATGTTAACTCATGTGCATACTCATACGGAGCTTAAATGCCCGCACTCTTCAGAAAGGGGATGAGTCCCTCCCTGGTGTATGTGGCCCAGGAGGAGGAAGAGAGTGGGGGGCCGTTTTCACTTTCCCTTCCAGTCAACACACAGTGAAATGATTTTCCTTGTGAATGTGCGTGTGGTGTGGGGGGTTGGGGTGGGGGTGGGTTCGGGTCGGGTGTGTGTGTGTGCTGCTAAGCCTATTCACCCCTTCAGGAGATCGAGGCAGCCAGAGCAAAGCTGACGGATGCAGTGGGGTACAGCACGTACATGGTCAAGGGGCTGCTGCCCGCCCCTAAGAGACAGGGAGTGGGGTGGGGTCATGTTCGCTTCCATGTTTGTCAACACAATAGCACCTGCTTTTCCTCGTTACTGACCCCCTCAGGAAATCGAGGCGGCACAGGCGAAGCTGACAGACGCGGTGGGGTACAGCACGTACATGGCCAAGGGGCCGCTGCTGCCGCCCGCCCCCTGAGAGAGGGCCCGAGGCAGGGGAATCATGTGTAAAATCCCTTTCAGTCAGCACATATTCAACTGCTTTTCCTTGTGAATGTGTGTGTTGGGGGGTGGGGGGGTTGGGGGGGGGGGGAGTTGTGCCTGGTGTTGAATTCTTTCAGGAAATCGAGGCGGCACGGGCGAAGCTGACAGACGCGGTGGGGTACAGCACGTACATGGCCAAGGGGCTGCTGCTGCCGCCTGCTCCTGAGAGAGGGCCCGAGGCAGGGGAGCCGGAGTTCCACTGGTGGTCGCTGCAGCTCAACCAGTTCAACACGTTCCTCTACATGGTGAGAGCACGTTTGTGTGTGTGGTGCAGTTTGAAAGCTGCTCTGAAGGGGTGCTATCAAAACGAATCTCCCAAGGGGCTACTGCTGCCACTCCCCTCGAAAGAGGGCCAGAGGCAGGTGAGCCGGAATGCCACTGGTGGTCGCTGCAGCTCAACCAGTTCCACACGTTCGTCTACATGTTGAGAGCAGCTTCATGTAGGGGGTGAGCTGAGCGCTGATGAGAAGAGCACGCCTGGTGCCGCCTCCCCCTGAGAGAGGGCCCGAGGCAGGGGAGCCGGAGTTCCACTGGTGGTCGCTGCAGCTCAACCAGTTCAACACCTTCCTCTACATGGTGAGACGAGACTCAACAGCTGCTCCGAAACCCAGTGGGCTGGTCTGGCCACGACTTGTGTTTGAAACAGCTTACTACCTTTCGTCCCCGTTTTCTTCTTTTTCTCGCATTCAAACTAGTACATCTTCATCCCAACATCAGACAAATGGGTTGTTGACCTTAGGCAACTCAAGGGTCCTTCTTTCCCACAACTCATCCACCCCTTTCAGGTGAACTACTACATTATCATGCCAACCTCAGCCGAGTATGCAGTCCTCCTTTCCGCCCCGCCAGCCCTCTGCGGTATCATCATCGGCGCCCCTCTGTGCGCTCGTCATCCCTCCTGGCCTGCCCCCTCCCTTTCCCACCTCCCCTACCCCCTTTGCCCCCTCTCCCTCCCCTCCCTCCCCTCCCCCCGCCATCCCCCCGTCCCGACTGCCCGTCCCTCCCTCCACCGCACCCCACCTCCTCCCACCCAGGTGAACCACTACACCATTGTCCCAACCTCAGACGAGTACGCAGTCCTCCTCTCCGCCCCGCCAGCCCTGTGCGGTATCATCGTCAGCGCTACGCCCCTCTGTGCTCTGGAGCCAGCCTTCATCTTACCCCCTCCCACCGCACGCAACCTCATCCCACCGCACTCAACCCCATCCCACCCAGGTGAACTACTACATCATCGTGCCAACCTCCGACGAGTATGCCATACTCCTCTCCGCGCCACCCGCTCTCTGCGGCATCATCATCGGCGCCACGCCCCTCTGCGCCCTGGTCTCTCGGCCTTCATCTTCAGCAAGTGGTCCAACACGTCCTACACGCAACTTACCCCTTCTCACCGCACCCAACCGAATCTTACCGCACTCAACCGCACCCCACCACACCCAAACCCACCCCACCCACTCAGGTGAACTACTACATCATCGTGCCCACATCAGACGAGTACGCAGTCCTTCTCTCCGCGCCACCCGCTCTCTGCGGCATAATCATTGGCGCCACGCCCCTCTGTGCGCTGGTGTCAGCCTTCATCTTCAGCAAGTGGTCCAACACGTCCTACACGCAGCCCTTACTCGTCTCCACGCTCGTCCTGCTGCTCGGCAACTTCGTCTACGCTGCTGCTCTGGATTTCAACTCCGTCGCCCTCTTGCTCATCGGCCGGTCGCTCACCGGGTAAGGCACAGGTGAAAGCCGGTGGGGATTGGGGGGGAAGGGGAGTGGGGGATGGGTGCGTGGGGATGTAAGGCAGCAGCACGCGCGCCCATCTGCGCGCTCGTATCAGCCTTCATCTTCAACACGTCCTACACGCACCCCCTGCTCGTCTCCACGCTCGTCCTGCTGCTCGGCAACTTCGCCTACGCCGCTGCCCTCGACTTCAACTCTGTTGCCCTCCTTTTGATTGGCCGGTCTCTTACCGGGTAAGGCAGGGCCGCAGGGGTAGACCTGGAAGGAGTGGGCAGGGGCGAGAGGAGGGGATAGGGGAGGGGTGGGTGGAGAGGGTGGGTTCAGCATCATTGGGGATCCGGAAAAAGGGGGCAGAGGGGAAAGGAGGAGGGGAGGAGAGAGGGAAAAGGTGATTGCCTGCTTGCCTGCTGAGAGTCCACTTCCTTCCACTTCCATTACTGCCTGCTGAGAAATTTCACCCTCATCGACTTCCTCAGCTTCCACTTCCTCTGCTTCACTGTCAACTCAGTCACCTCCCCCGGCTGGCTCATGGTTCGCTTCCTTTGCACTGCACTGCACCCGTTTCCACCCTCCCTCCCTCCCTCCCTGCAGCCTGGGAGGAGTGCGAGCGATTAACCGCAGATACATAGCCGACCACGTGCCATCATCTGAACGCACCTCAGCCTCAGCGGGCTTTGTAAGCGCCGGCGCGCTGGGCATGGCAGCAGGGCCCTTCGCCGCCTCCCTGATCGACTTCCTCAACTTCAAGTTCCTCGGCTTCACTGTCAACTCAGTCACCTCCCCTGGCTGGCTCATGGTGCTCTCCTGGCTGCTCTACCTCGCTTTTGTGGTTCTTTTCTTTAAGGAGCCGGACCGGACACACCTGCAGCCGGTGCCGGCAGCAACGGGGGTGAAGTCCGGAGGGAATTTGAGAAGGAGGGGGTCTAAAGAGGCTGCGCTGGGAGGGAACCTGAAGAGGGGGGGTTCTAAAGAAGCGGCGCTGGGTGGGATGGGAGCGGTGGGCGTGAATGGGGTTGTGGGGGAGAGGGGAGGGTGGGGGGATAGGGATGGAGTGGTGGTGGGAGAGGGGAGTATGGTGACTGCTGCGTCGCCTGCTGATGGCGCAGTGAAGATTGAAGAGGAGGGATTTGGCACAGGGGCAGGAGTCGAAGTGTGGGGAGGGGCGGTAGCAGGGAGAGGAGAGAATAGAGGGGCTGGGAGCGCCTTATCCGAGCCTCTGTTGAGGGGGCTGGCAGGGCAGGACAGTAGGAATAGTGTGACAGCAGCGACAGCAGCACGGCGAGTGCACAGTGGGATGGTTGACGAGAGCGACGCGCGAACTTGGCTGATGCTAGCCTCTCTGGTAAGCCTTCTTTCTCCATTCCTGTTTCTCGCCTCCAGCACCTGAGCGTCTACGCATCTTTGCATTTCCGCCTTGCATTTCTGCATCATCTCGGCACCTCAGAATCTCAGCAGGAGCAGCAGCAGTTCTTGCTGGCTAGTATTATCCGGTGTACCTCCCTATTTCACTCTCTCTAAGGTTGCATGTTCTTGCGTCTCTGGTCGCTCCTTTCCCTCCCTTCACTCGTTCCCAGCCGAGGGTGGATGAGGGGGAGGACAAGGATGATGATGGAGCATTTGCGGATCATCATCATCCTGCCCTCATTAACCACGCCTGCCCTCCCTTCCCTCCTTCCTCCCCACCCTGATCCTCATGTACCCCCCAACGGACTTTGATGAGGGGGAGGTCGAGGAGGACGAGGATGATGATGCTGCATCGTTCCCCCATGCCCTCCCTCTCTCCCTTCCTTCCTTCCGCCCCACCCTGATCCGCTTCTTCTTCCCAGCCGGACATAGATGAGGGGGAGGACGAGGAGGACGAGGATGATGATGCTGCATCATCCACCGGGGCTGTGGAGACGCTTTCAGAGCTCATGAAGGAGCTGTCACGGCCCATCTCGGTACAGTGCGGTTCTAATGATGTCAATGCAGACTGAGAGGGGCTTGTTGATGGGTTCTGTGGTATGGAAATGAGGCATGCTGTTACCGTCCAATGGAGCCGTGGAGACATTGCCATGCCAGAGCTCATCAAGGAGCTGTCGCGGCCTATCTCGGAACTGTGGGGTTCATGCATATGGATGTTAATGCTGAGTTGGGAATGACGCATAGCTGCAAACAAGCCAGCTGTGGTGTGGTAACTCATTCCGTCATGCCTATCTGAGGTGTGCCTTGTGTCGACCACTGGAGCTGTGGAGACGCTTACAGGGCTCCTGAAGGAGTTGTCCTTTTGAGACGTCTCAAAACACTACTTTTATTAAGTGGCTACCGATCTTGGTATGGCAAGCAAGGCCGGTTTGGCGGGGACTTACTGTGCTCTGTGTACTGTCCATTGTATGCCGTGCGCTGTGTGGTGTGTGCTGTGTGCTGTGCGCTGTGTGGTGTGTGGTGTGTGCTGTGCGCTGTGTGGTGTGTGCTGTGTGCTGTGCGCTGTGTGGTGTGTGCTGTGTGCTGTGCGCTGTGTGGTGTGTGGTGTGTGCTGTGCGCTGTGTGGTGTGTGGTGTGTGCTGTGCGCTGTGTGGTGTGTGCTGTGTGCTGTGCGCTGTGTGGTGTGTGCTGTGCTGTTCGTCGTTCTCCTCCCATCCCCATCCTCGTTATTGCAGGTCCTCCTCTTCATGTACTTCATGATCAAATTCGCCACAGAGGTGCTTATATCGGAGTCCAGCCTTATCTCCAAGTACTACTTCCAATGGACCATCAACGACGTACGTTCCGTTCCTTCCCCATTATCTAGACCCATCGCTCTGCTCTGCCTACTCTTGTACACTTGTATTGGAGTCCAGCCTTATCTCCTAGTACTACTTCCAGTTCAGCGGACAATCAATGACGTAGGTTCCAACTTCCAACCACTTCTTCCCCGTTGAGTAACCCAATTACTCTGCCTACCTGCATTGTTCTGGATTTTTTCTTTTTCTTTTCGTTTTCTTTTTTCGCCGTCAATCAACGATGCGCATCATCAGCAATGAGTGGATCTGGCAAAGCAATGCTTTAGAAATGTTTTTGTAGCTGACCTGACTGGGTGATTGGGGCCTTGGAGAAATTTTAAACGCCAAACGTTTTCTCCTCTCTTCCTTCAGATTGGTTGGTTTCTGGGTCTCCTGGGTCTCACAGTGCTGCCCATCAGCTCGGTGGTTGGAAATTACATCACCAACATATACGAGGACAGGTAAGCAGTAGGCCTAGTATGCGTGCTAGTGTATGTATGGTGCAGGATAGCACACGTATGGTGTAGGCTGGCTGGTACAAGTGTGATACAGGCTAGCGTACATCTCACAGTTCTACCCACCCATCAGCTCTGTGGTTGGAAACTACATCACCAACATATACGAGGACAGGTAAGGCAGTAGGTTTATCATGCATGCACGCTGGTACAAGTGTGATGCAGGCTAGTGCATGTCTCACGGTTCTCAATCACAGGACTGCGATTGGTTGGGAACTACATAGCCAACATATACAAGGACAGGTCAGCAGTAGGTGTATTGTGCTGGCTCTTACGCATGCATTACAGTTTGGTACACTTTTCATAAACTGATGATGCTGATTGTTGATTTCCTCCTTCCCGTCTGTTCACTGCGCCCTTCCGCAGGCTGGTGATCATGTGGACGCAGGGCCTGATCGCAGTTGGGGTGATAGCTGTGATGTGTTTTGCGCCAATCATCAAGTACACTACACAGCAGTACATTGTTGCTGCTGTCATCATCTTTGTCTCCTGCAACGTGCTCGAAGGTGCGCTGCGGTTTCTTGGTAATTAGTGTAGCATCAGTGTAGCTCTTGCAATCCATGGCTCTGCTTCTCTGAGTGTACGCAGCTTTGTAGGGCTTTCCAATTCCACTACAGTACTCACCCACACTCCTGTCTGGATTGCTGTCTGAAACTTGTGTGGCGCTTTGCAGGGGTTTCTCTTTCACTCATGTCGCGCATAATGTCACCACGCCTTGCAAGAGGAACGTTCAATTGCGGCCTTCTGTCGACTGAGGCTGGAACTTTCGCCCGAGTGGTGGGGGACGGCCTCATTACTCTTGTTGGATACTATGGCACGCATCTAGTCCTCAACCTTACAATGATTCCGGTGCTAGTAAGCGTCCTAGTTTCTTTACTAGCCACTCGGTGGGTGTACTATGCACTGTACTAGCTTGTCTTTCACTGATGTGGTCTTATGTCTGGTCAAAAAAAGCTGAAAGTACCACTAGCTAGACTTAGCACTAGAAATCGCTCGTTTGAATGATCTGAAATGTGTGTTCCTTCAACGAAACTTGTCTGGTTAGCGGATCTGCCGAAACTGAGAACATTGGTTGGCACACTTCGCTGTGCGGCGCGCCAAACGGTCACACAAGTTCGAAACCACGTTTTCAAGAAGAGCACCTGCAGGCGGGACCTGCTACACGCCATCCACTTCGTTATTTCCACACAGCCCGTTCCCTCCTTTCTTGTCCCGCCTGACAGACGCAAAAATGTTTCACCTGTCTGAGCAGCATGACTTCTGCGGAAATTCCATTGCTCGTACAGTACGCAGGGGTTTACGGGCCACGCATGGTCCACGCCTCGCCCCGCCTACTTCGTGACGCGACGCGAATCCAGTCCATCCAGATTCCGAACCATTCCTTTCATGATTCCATCCATCCAAGTCTCTCAAAAAATCTGTACCATACTGTAAAGTATTGAACCGCACCAAATTCCTCCCGTTTTGTGACAGGGAGTTGTCCGCTCTCGTGCCCCATCATCAGACAGCTAATCCTAAACCAAAGCCTCGATCATTTTCTCCAGCCTGCGCATCACTCCACTAAAGCTTGTAGTTTTCGGGAGTTCAGGCCTCAGACTCAGCTCACAACTCCTGAGGTCATTGCTGGTTGTTGCTGGTAGCTTACCAGCTGATGTAGACGAAATCATTAGCGACGAGGCAACTCACAACCCTGTTTTGCATCTAGTTGAACGTGCGTTGCTTGACAGTAGAATAACGACTGACTGGTTCCCTCAAAAGGCATCACCATGGTAAACAATCCGTCGTCGATCTCGGCCGTGGGGGCATGGACCATGAACGTGGTTAGCTCCGTCGGGATCATCATGATTAACAAGCAAGTCATGTCAGGCTATGGCTTCAGGTTTGGTAAGTCATAACAACCCCTTTTTAGAGGCTAACAAAAAGCTCTTAGACCATCGTAATCAACTTTCTTGAAGCGCAGTGTAATCTTTATGTGCCGCGATGCTACCACGTGCAGGAATACGACATTCACACAAAGACTTTAGGATCGTCGATAATGGCTTTGTGCCTTTATTTGATGTTTCATCTCTCGCTTGCTCTGCGCAGCTTCGACACTGACGGGTCTACATTTCGGAGTGACGGCTCTGGTCGGAATGGCATCGGCTGCGCTGGGATACCTGAACAGCAAGAACACGGTCCCGCTGTGGGAGCTGATCTGGTTCTCCATTGTTGCGAATCTCTCCATTGTCTCCATGAATCTCAGCCTCATGCTCAACACCGTCGGATTCTACCAGGTTTGTCAGCATGCCAACATGACCTTGTCTATAACCTTTGGCATGGTCCCACATTCCCGAGTAAAGAAAGGCAGCTAAGAGCCAATTGTCGGCTAAAAGGGGCCCTGTTAATGACATTGTCTTTCTGCATGAATCCTTCACGTCTCATCTCGTCCTGCTCCCACCCTTCACAGATTGCCAAGTTGAGCATCATTCCAGTGGTCTGCTTCTTCGAAGCTCTCCTCCATTCAAAGGCCTACTCGCGCGAGGTCAAGTTCTCCGTGGCAGTGGTCATGGTGGGAGTGGGTGTGTGCACCGTCACCGACATCAACATGAACGCCTTTGGCTTCGTCGCCGCTACCGTCGCCGTCATCAGCACGTCTCTGCAGCAAATCGTGAGTGCATTCTTTCTCCCTTCTCTCGGCTTCGTTGTCGCGCCAGTTCATTTAATTTTTTCGCCGCTACTGTCGCCAACGTCAGCACATCGCTCCAGCAGATCGTGAGTGTCTTCGTTCCCGTGTGTGCTCCATTCGCCCCCTTCTCTCGGTTCCCTCGCCGTTCCACTCCTCTCGGCTCATTCCCCGGTCCATTCCTCTCGGCATCGTTCCCGCTCCAGTTCTATTGTTTCCCTCGCCGCTGTAATCGCCGTTATCAGCACGTCATTCCAGCAGATTGTACGTGTGTCGTTCGACCTCGTCGTGAATGGACTGACGACAATCCCTTTCATGCGTCTTGATGTCCGCCATTTTTTCGAGTTCACGTAGCTCCTGCGCATCCCGTCCGTTCCCGTTCCTCTCTCTTCCATCCGTATTGTTCATCAGCGTTTCCTCTCGTCCCTTTCTTTAATTCACTCCACAGACCTCGACGGAGCTCCCGTGCCTTATCCCTGCAGACCAGCTGCATTTCAAGCTGTGCTTCCTATATGCGCCGCATAATATGTCTCCTTTCATCCCCCTCCCGCGTTCTGCAGTTCATCGGGTCGCTGCAGACCAAGTACAGCATCGGCTCCTTCGACCTGCTCAGCCAGACGGCTCCCATTCAGGCGGCACTGCTCCTGCTGCTCGGCCCCGTTATTGACTACTTCCTTATCTCGCAATCCATTTTGAAATACCAGCTCACATGGGGCTCTGCGGTGAGTTGCTGGTGATGTACCTGGTCTCGAGTGTGGTTGCAATTCACGTATAGTGGTATTCGGCACTCTTCCCTTAGCTTGACACCTCCAACTGATTCTTCTGTGCAGATTTTCATCGGCCTCTCGTGCTTCTTCGCAGTCTTCTGCAATCTCAGCCAGTACCTCTGCATTGGAAAGTTCTCAGCGACGTCCTTCCAGGTCCTGGGTCACATGAAAACGGTCCTGGTTCTCGCCATGGGCTTCCTCGTATTCAGCTCTCCGATCACCATGAAGAACGTGATGGGTATGCTGATGGCTGTGTTGGGAATGGTTCTATACAGCTGGGCTGTTGAGAAGGGCAAGAAGGAGAAGGAAGCAAGGGACAAGCTTCAGAGATCTCCTATGGTGTCTGCTGCTCTTCCAACCAAAATGCCAGATGAGGGGATGGAGAATGGTGAAAAGTTGGCACTGCTGTCTAGCAACGATGATGTTGAAGCTGGAAGGCAAGGCTAAAATTAGCTCCGCCAGTATAGCCGTTGCTTCTCAGTTGGCATGTAGCTGGCGGGGATGTGTGCCATCTCCATTAAATTATGCGTAATTACCTAGTTATACACTCACATTATTTGTTCAAATCTGGCAGTTTAGTTATAGTCGAAATATTTGAATATCGTGTTTCCAACGCCCATTTGTCTCTTGTCCAAATATCGCCGAGCCTGCCCCAACGCTCGAGAGACCCCACGAGCGGTTTCCCTCCCTCCCTCCACTACGCTTCGCGCCACACCAACTGCCAAAACGATAACCTTGAAACTGACGGATCGCTGTGATTGACCGAACCGAACCGAACTAACTGACGACTCCCTGCCTCGCTGAAAAGAACTTTCTGGGATGAATTTGGGGAGCTTTTTCAGTGCCGAGCTTCAGGGAATCTCGAGGGTAAACACGTTCTCTATCAGCTTTCGGCCATTTCCAAGGCCCCGATATCAAGACCTTGGTACCTAAGACCTTAGTCAAGCATTTCCTTGAGAGCAATAGCGACGCCGAGTGTCAGCACCGGGCTTGTCGTCGACAAGCAAGGACAGGCTGATTCGTGCAGATCTGGCTATTAGGTTAAGGCGGCAACTGAGTGGAGCAGAAGTTGAATGTGTTTAGCCTGTGTGCTGTAGTGGCTGCTGCCGGCTGTTAGGGTTAACACCTCTCCGTGCGGCATACAAACATCGAACTCGTTACATCAGAGAGTTTTTCAAGATGGTTAACAATCCAGCAGCCGTTTCGGCCGTAGGAGCATGGACTATGAATGTGGTCAGCTCAGTCGGCATTATCATGGTCAACAAACAAGTTATGTCAGGCTATGGCTTCAAATTCGGTAAGTATACTTTTATGTAAGTGTAGGTAATCACCTGAGAGTATGGGCTAGTACGTAATTCATACTGACCACACCCACTGAAGATAAAAAACAGATTGTTGAAGCTAAATCCGTCTCTCGTTATTTCAATCACACAAGCGATCAAAGTAAAATAAAGCCGTATTGTCTTCTTGTGTCAACTACCGTTTCAGCTTGTACATTGACGGGGTTCCATTTCGCGGTCACGGCGTTGGTCGGCATGGCATCAGCTGCAGTGGGTTATATTTCAAGCAAAGCCACCGTGCCGTTTTTGGAGCTCGCCTGGTTCTCCATCGTCGCGAATCTTTCCATTGTCTCTATGAATCTCAGCCTCATGCTCAACACCGTTGGCTTCTACCAGGTGCGAACAGTATTTGCAGATGAAATTCCGTGCTTTGGTTAAATCAGGCTACGCACTGGCGTTATTAACTCAGATTAAGCTCATCTAACTGCTTCAAGAAGCACTATTCAGAGCTGTTGATTGCCATCTCTAATTCCATCATGCCTCTAAATCACAATCAATGTGTCATTTAACAGATTGCGAAACTCAGTATCATACCGACCGTGTGTCTCTTTGAAGCGTTGCTTCACTCCAAGGCTTATTCTCGAGAAGTAAAATTCTCAGTGGTCGTTGTGATGGTGGGAGTGGGAGTCTGTACCGTCACTGACGTCAGCATGAACCTTATGGGTTTTCTTGCTGCTCTTGTCGCCGTGATCAGCACTTCCCTGCAGCAAATTGTGAGATATGACCATCCCACCCCCCCTCCTTTCCTCCCTCCTCTCTCCCCCACACATCCACACGCATGTCTGCTTTCAGTATGTGAAACCACCAGCGAATGCATGTGTGTATTCTACTCGAAGTGGTTGTGTTTTGTTATGACTGCAACTCATGTGCTCATGTACTGTCTACGATCATGCCTTACACGTTTTTTCTTCTTTTTTTTTTTCTCAGTTCATCGGGTCCCTTCAAACCAAGTACAACATTGGGTCTTTTGACCTGCTCAGCCAAACTGCACCCATCCAAGCAGCATCTCTGGTGGTGCTTGGCCCCTTTGTTGACTATTTTGTTACAAGTCTGAACATTACAGAATACACCCTTACTGCTGGATGCACGGTGAGATCAATTTGACGCCATTGTTCAACTTTTCCCATCCTATCCAGCTCCGCCTGTCCCGTTGTATTCAGCACTGTCATCGTACTTGATCTCATCTAACTTTCATGGTCCAAGCTGAAATGTATCCCCCTTTTAATTCAGCATTCCTGAAATTGGTCTTGCTCATTTTCCGCTCCTCCAATAAATCAACATTCACTACACATATTCTCTCCCCTGAACCCCTGCAGGCTTTCATCGTGCTCTCTTGCTTGCTGGCTGTCGTCTGCAATCTCAGCCAGTATCTCTGCATTGGAAAGTTCTCAGCAACGTCATTCCAGGTCCTTGGTCACATGAAGACAGTCCTTGTCCTCGTTTTGGGCTTCATCCTTTTCAGCTCACCAATCACCATGAAGAATGTGATGGGCATGCTCATGGCTGTAGTAGGAATGGTGCTTTATAGCTGGGCCATCGAGAAGGGCAAGAAGGAAAAGGACGGCAAGGAGACTGGAATGGTCAAGGCAGGCCAGCCTTCTCCTAGAGCATCGGAGGGGAATGTGAGTGGAGGGGAAGAGGAGCGAGCAGGACTGCTTGCGACAGGTAGGGCTGGAGAGGAAGATTTGGAATCTGGAAAGCAGGGTTAAAAGCTCGTATGGCAAGACATGCTGCATCATACTCCAGCGCAGCGCCGCCACCTAGTTACGCGATTCCAATCATGTAATCAATTCAGGTGCAGTAACTAAACATGTTAGTACTTGCGAGTACCGTACCTGTGAGGTCGACATGCTGCCGTTTCCTCTGTCAAAATGAGGAATGATGATGCCATTGATGTTGGTTGGGGTACATATAACAAACCCTAACTTCTGTACCCCCTAAGACAAACCTCACTACAAGCTACAACATTTGATGCACCCCCATAGCCTAAGTGAGGGGTGTCTAGCAAAATAAAAAAGAGTACGGTCACAAGACCAGTCCAAAAGAAAACAAAGCTCAGGGTGGATCACAACGTCACCACACTCTCTGAGCACAAGCAACAGTGGCCACAAGGCCAGTCCAAGAGATCACAAGTATATATAGCAAGAGTACAGACGAAGCAGGCAATAAACTCAAGCCTACACATGACTAGAACCTGTGTCAACAAGGCCTAACTGCACACAACACCTCTGGTGGTCACGAGGCGGAAGCGCCTTGGTGAAGATGTCTGCAGTGTTGGCCTCGGACTCCACAAACTCGAAGCGAGCCTGTCCACGTCTCTGCAACTCTCGCAGAAGAAAGTACCTGACGTGAATGTGCTTCACTCTGCTCTCCAGTCGCGGCTCACGACAGAGGAGGATCGACGCCTTGTTGTCAGTGAACAAGGTCGGTGCAGAGCTCGGCCGCTCACCAAGGTCGGCGAGCAAGAAGGTCAACCAACGCAACTCCTGTGCCGCCATGGCACCAGCGTAAATCTCAGCCTCAGCTGTAGAGGTCGAGACAGAAGAGGAGCGCGTGGAACGCCAGGAAACAGCTCCAGAACCCAGACTGAAACAGTACCCCTGAGTAGACCTGTGAGTCTCAGCGTCGTCAGCGTAAGAGGAGTCACAGTGACCAGTGAGTACGACAGACTGCTGCCCTCCAAGAACTAGCCCCACGCCTGATGTAGTCGCTAGGTACTTCGCCACCCTCACAGCTGCCGTCCAGTGAACAGGACGGTGTCTCCCTGGCGCAACAAAGCGCGCAAGGATGCTGAGAGGGAAGGCGAGGTCCGGGCGAGTACAAGTCATCAGGTACATGAGGCAACCCACAAGCTCTGCGTAGGGACCACTAGGCTCAAACGGCTCGTCAGGAAAGGGACCAGTGAGTCTGTGGTCAACAGCGAGAGGTGTGCGCTGTACGGTGGAGTGCTGAAGCCCGAACGGCTGAAGGACCTGCTGCACCATGTGTGACTGTGAGAGTGTAATGGTGCGAGCGGCTCTGTCCCTGGTGATCTGCAGGCCAAGGTAGTGGCGCAGCTCACCAAGATCAGTGCACGTGTGTCTCTTCTGCAGTTCGGACTTCACGTCTGCCAAAGCAACCCTGTCCGGAGTGGCGAAAACGAGGTCGTCGACGTAAACCAGAACAAAGAACGGTGTGGAGCCACGACGAACGAACAGCGACGGGTCGGCAGAAGACGGCTGGAACCCAAGGTCAGAGAGGGTAGAACGCAGAGTGTCGTGCCACTCACGAGGGGCCTGGCGAAGACCGTAAACAGGTCGCCTCAGCCTCCACTGGGTCCCAGGAGGGAAGGTGCCAGTGAAGGCCGAGGGACGACGCAACCAGACCTCCTCGTGTAGGCTGCCCTGAAGGAAAGCAGTGGAGAAGTCGAGAGAGTGTAACTCGTAGTCTCTCTGTGCTGCTACGTGTAGTAACACCCGAAGAGTGGTCATCTTCGGGGTAGGTGCGAAGGTCTGAAAGAAGTCAACTCCCTCGCGCTGACTGAAACCTCTAGCCACGTAGCGCGCCTTGAAGACCGGGGGAGATCCCGGTGGCCGCTTCACCCTGTAGATCCACATGCCGTCGACTACGTTCGCCCCAGGGGGGGGAACCTCATCGACGTAGGTGCCTGTGGATCTGTAGGAGGCCATCTCTGCATCCATGGCAGCTCTCCACTGAGAGGCCCAAGGCCCTGACACTGCCTCAGCGTAAGTGCGAGGAGTCGGAATGTCAAGGGCGTCGGGGTCACCCTCAGGGGCGAGGAGCATGGCACAGAGATGAGGGGAAGCGGCCGCCAGGAACTCTAGCTCAAACTGCCTGTCCTCTAGGGCGTCACAGCCAAGGGCAGACACACCCCCGACGGCCAGAGGACTGGTAGGAGGAGCAGCCACAAGCGTGGTGGCGTAGTCAAGGCGGCGGGTAGAGGCAAAGTCAGTAACTGCGGCAGTAAGAGCGGACACAGAGGACACAGAGGCACGAGGGTGAGTAACAAGAGAGGCGAGAACACGAGAGAGAACAGGACGGTACGTGCGGTAGTAGTCAGTGACAGGAGTAGGGAGCGACACAGTGAGGGCCGACTCAGGAGGAGACGGAAGCACAGACTGAGACGGACGAGGTGGACTAGAAAGAAGGAAGGCAGTACGAAGGTCAGTGAAGGGAACAGGAGACGAGGGACGAGCACGAGGGGAGCGACGAGTAGCCCAAGAACGAGACGGAGGAGGAGAGGACAAAGGCGGAGAACTGGGGAAAACAGCGGGGGAGGAGTCAGGAGGAGGAAACGTGGGACCGTAGACAGGAGGAGAGGCGGAGGAGGGAGGAGAAGGGGAGGGGAGACCAAGGGTCCGAAGACCCGAGACAGGAGGAGGAAGTGGCTGCTGCTGCTGGTGCTGCGACTGCTGCTGCTGCGGAAGCGGCTGCTGCTGGGACTGCTGCTCCTGCTGGTCCAGCTGCTGCTGCTGCTGCTGCTGCTCCTGCGGCTCCAGCTACTGCTGCTGCTCCTCCAGCCGCTGTAACTCCCTCTCCTCTCTCTCCAACGCCAGCTGCTCATCACGGGCACGGCGAACACGAGCCTGGTGCCTAGTCGGGTAGGGGTGGGGGGGCGGAGTAGTGTCTGAAGCAGCGGTAGCTCCAGAGTCCACCCCCGAAGAACCAGGCGCACCACCCCCAGAGGCAGCACTAACACCAGCTCCAGACCCAGGCTCACCAGAACCCGAAGGAGGCGCACTCTCACCCCCAGTGTCCGCGCGACCAGCACCAGCTCCTGGACGACAAGAGTCCTCTGCACCCACCGGGTCAGCTCCAACTCCAGAACCAAAAACTCCAGCTCCAACTCCAGCTCCAACCCCAGCACCCCCAGAACCAGAAACTCCAGTGCCAACTCCAGCTCCAACTCCAGCTCCAACTCCAGCTCCAACTCCACCACCCCCAGAACCAGAAACCGGTACAGGAACAGGCGCAGCACCAACCTCTCGAGAGCTAGCACCTGCGGCACGCTGCGAGGAGGACTGTGGGGAGGGAGGCTGTACCGGAGAGGCTACCGAAGGAGGAGGGGTAGCCTGGGACACACCCGACGGGGCTGGACCAGGGGGGGGAGGCTGTACCGGGGGAACAGGAGGGGGAGCGGCAGTCAGGAAGAGGGGGGGAGGAGGAACCTGGAGACCTCGACTGGGGTACCTGACGTAGTACGGAGTGGACTCCTCGAAACGGACGTCACGGGAGTCAAAGAACCGGTGAGAGGGAGGGTGGTAAAAGGTGAAGTCAGAGGAGTCCTCAGGGAAACCAAGGAAGACACAGGGGACGGCACGAGGCGAGAGCTTGTCCGCGGAGGTGTCGCGGACAAGAGCCAAGCACCCCCAGACACGAAACCGCGACGCAACACCAGGGGACCCTGTCCAAAGACTGGTCGGTGAAACCTCTGGTCGAGAGACACGTGGCCAGAGGTTCAGCTGGTGCGCGGCGTACCTGACCGCGTAGGGCCACAGAAAATGGGGGGCACAGGCGTGAGTCAGGGAGGTACGGGCGATCTCCATGACCAGGCCTATGCGGCGCTCAGCAACCCCATTCTGCTGTGGGGACTCTGGAAGCGTCCAGGACTGACGAATGCCCTGCTCGCGACAGAATCCAGCGAGAATGCCGGAGCGAAACTCACCCCCACGGTCGGAGTGGAGGCAGCTGACACGACGACCACGAGTGTCCTCGGTGGTGAGCAACCACCTGATCAGCGTAGAAGTCACCTCAGACTTCTTCGCCAGAGGGAACACTGTGGTGTAGCGGGAGAAGTCGTCAACGACCACCAGAAAGTAGCGCTCACGCTCAGGGCCTAGACGAGGGGCGGGGCCCCAGACGTCCAAGTGAAGCGTCTCAAAAGGCTCGGTGGCCGGACGAAGGGAGGAGGAGTGAGGGGCGGCGCGCAGCCGACCCTCGACGCAGGGACCACACGGCGGCGCAAGCGAAGGCGGCACCGACGGCAAGACACGTGGGAGGCCTAGGACAAGACGCTGACTAGACATAGCGCGCAGACGAGGAAGGGACGGGTGCCCCATCCGGTGGTGCCACAGAACGGTGGGGTGGGC